AAGAAAACATGAATGTTCCTAGCACTACTGTTCATAAAAGCCTCAAACGGAAACCCAAATGGCCAGCCAAAGTACACCAGATAAACTCTGGTATATTCACACAATGGGATTCTCAATAAAGTAAATGTGCTACAGCCAAATACACAACATGGAAAATCTCAACCATAATATTGAGGGAAGAGCAAAATAAACAAAACAGTCAGTACAGTGCTAATTATATCATGTTCAAAAATAGGCAAAACCTAACTTTATGATATAAAGATAAACATATACATATTAAGGCTGTACACAAAAGCAAGAAAATGATTCCTATTAAAAGTATGGATTAGGGGAGCTATGGGAGGAAGGGGGGATGAATAAGTGGAAATTACAAGGGATTTCACTTTAAACAACCCGTCAAACTCCACTTTTCTGTATTCACAGTTCTCAGCTTTAAAAATGTTAAAACCACACTCCAAAAACATTTTCAAACAAACAACTTTTCTCATGTACCTACTTTAGGATGTGTTTCACCAAAATGAAGTAGTAGAAGAAGAAAGATGACAGAGATGAGAGAGAAGAAAAGGAAATCTCCTAGATGATTTTAGAAACCTGAACAACAAATAGTTCACATCAGAACAGGATTAAAGGCTCCAGGAAGTTATTCCCCAAAGGAAAAACAAAAAAAAGAAACTACAGATGCTGAGAAGTGATTTACCGTTTCAATGGAAAGGAACAGGATAACAAAACTAAAGTTGATTATTAAATCTGAGGAAAAGCTATGAACACAATCCATCATCTTCTATAACAGTAAAAGTGTAATATGCTAATTAGATGAGACCTTCCAGATGTCCTTCCGGACGAAGCCGGAGCTGTGAGGGAAGCCTGGGTCCCGGGTGACAGAGGGGAACTGGTGCCAGCAGCTGGGGGAAGGAAGGCCTACTCTTGCATGAATTCGGGCCTCTAGTAGGAATATAAACACTGAATAATGATTCAATTGTAGAGATAATGTAACTATATCAGAAAGATTTAGGGAGAAGGACATGCAAAACAGTGGCTTTTCAAGAGAGCTAAATCTTCATTTTCCATTGCAGGAGCACAATAGATACCTCAAACTGAAATTCAAGAAACAGTATAAACACATAATTTAGAAATATTAAGGTCAGAATTAGAAGAAATAGCTTTAAAAAGTTGAAAGTGTTTGTCTCAGGAGAACAGAAACCAGTACTGATAAGGGCCATGGTGGAAAACTGCCAACTGTTAACAGCTTTGCAATATTATATTTTAAAATTTTTCATTTAATAAATGTTTTACTTGTATTCAATTTGATAAAATTAAAATTCAGTGGTGATTAACTGTTCCACAAACAATCCACATATTGAATACCTCAACAGTTTCAAACCTGTTATTGACGATCATGTTAACCCACTTACATAACAGATTAAAAGAAAAAACAGCTTCTCTTTAAACTCATATGAACATAACTAATTTGGAATCTGAAAAGTAACAACTAATTATATGGCCTTTTCCTGTGAAAAGCACCTAGTAAATCATAACTTAATGTGCATGCAAAACATAATAAACTTATCAACAGTTTAAAAATATAATCAAAATATAGAAATTGTTACCTTGTAAAAGTTTCCATATGACTTTCGAATATTGATCCACTTTTTAGCAAAAGGAGGATATTTGAGCCTGCTGAGCCGGCACTGAATGTTCAGGAACTTACTCATATCCCACGAACTTGTAAATCAAAAATAGGAAATAAATGCTATACTATTTTTACAAATGAGTATTTTAACTCATTCTGTTTTTTATTTACACGACACCTTTCTTATACTTACACATAACTCTAAAATAATTCTGCTAAGCTTACTTTTAGTGTCAGGTTTATCATATTGGGAAGTTTTGTGAGGGTATATTTTGAAATACAACAAAAACAAATGAACAAAATACCTGAAAGACATAAAAGGAGCTGGTAACAGGTAGTTAGAATACAGTTTGGTCTGTTACAGTATGTTCCTAAAATACTAATCAACCTGTGTAATTCAATAGGAGAATATGGACTGTATAATGCGGAAACTGTGTTGGTTTAATACGTGCGTTTTACTAGCCAGAGGGAGTCAGAATGATAGCAGTCAAACTTATAACCTTCAGCAGAAAAAACAAAAAAACAACTCTCAACTCAGCTACTGTACCAGCAACAGGAGTACTTTCAAATGTATTTTAAGAAAATTAAAAATCAGTGACTGTCCCAGAATCCCATTGCTTCCATGTGTAATATCCTCTCATGCAACTTCAGTAAAGTCCCCACCTACGGAGATGCTTGCCTGGCTGTCCAAATTACGTCTGGAGTTATCAATTACTGCCTTTATTAGTGCTCTGGTTAATTGCACAGGTTATGAATGGTCTGTCCCAGAATGTGAGGTTTTTACAGAATCGCACACACTGTGCCACAACAAAAACATCTGTATACTTGAGCAGGAACACTGATCAGTCGTGTTTGAAATCAATGAGATTTCTAAAGAGGTCCATCAACATTTTCCCATGCATTGTTGAAACATCATTACAATGTGAGTAAAAGCAGTGCTCTTTCCTTATTGTATGTAAGGGTCTCTAAACCCTTTATGTAGGTGACATCGTAGCTGTAGTGTACAATCTGTCCACAGTTTGAAACAGAAGTTGTTTAGAACTTCCTTCTTGGACCTGAATAGCATTATGGGAGGAGCTGCCTTGGCACAGCTTCTTTTGATGTTCATTTCCCAGTTAGTCTTTCATTTCACAAATGCCTTTGGAGCATACATGTTTAACTCAACACTACAGTAAGCGCTATATGAAAGACCACCACGTAGCCAAAGTCCCTGCTCTGAGAGGATTTTTAATCTCTTTGCAAACATAAGTCTTATGTACATAAAGTTTAGATATCAGAATATTTAGTCAGATGTTAATATGAATGGTACACATCAGAGAGGTTTTTATATGATTTCAAGAAAAAAAGAATCAATGTCAACTGTAGTGTCTGGAGTAAACATGTGGTAGGCTTTGAATAACAACAAAGAAGCGGTAAAGGAAGAGAGCCTTCCAGTAGAGAGAAAAGCGTAAGTACATAGAAAAGGATAAACCATGTGATCCATGGGCCAGCCTGACTAAAGGAAAAAAGAATAGCAGGTACCTTAGCTACACAGGGAGGGCAACATTAGATGAACGCAAGACTGAAGAGTTGGACTTTTCTGAGCAAGGAAGTGTCCTTACATGAAACAGTTTTAGTTTCACATATTAATATGTATCTTTTTCTAGCCTTCCAGTCCTGGATTAGACTGTTTTTCATTGCTTTCAATAACAGAAGGAAAAATATTGTCTCCTTTACTAAATAACATTCTTATGGTTATTCTAAAAGTTAAATAAGACATCCTTAATCTTAAAAAGTAGATAAAAGTATTATAAATTTTCCTACTTACCCATCTGTTAATATGCAATACTTATATTTTGTTCCTAATTCCTTCAATTTCATCCAGTCAATTACTTTTTTCAGTACCTGAGGGAAGGTATCAGCTCTGTCTACCTGATCCTGAGGATATAAAAGTAAAATACACAAAAATCAGAGTAGCAACAGGTAGTCATACAAAATACCCAGACACAAACACTGGAGGGAAAGGAACAGAACGAGAGTCTTATCTATGATGTTTTAAATTCTTCATGATTTCCTTGGCTGAGATACACCTAACATTTCATTTTTAAGATAATTAAAAATTGTTTATAGCCAAGTATTAGGGACTACTTTCAAGTGAAGCACATAATCCTCCCAAAATTAAGACTTAAGATCATCCTCAATGGTTCTCTTTTTGTAGGCCTCAACCTAGCAGCTTACCAATTCTCTGGAGTAGAGAAAAGGGAAATCTCTTCTCGCTGAAAGCCATAGCCCTCTACACTAATCTATCTTGAAGCTCACCTCTTTCTACCACATACTACATACCACTGCCAAACTGATCTTCCTAAAATGTAAATCTTACCCATCACATCACTTTCATACTTAAAATCCTCCAAACACTCTCCAAGGCTTTCAGGATAAAAAGACACACAAGACTCTTCACAACGTGGCATGTCTCAGCTACCACTTTAGGGTTATGTGGGAGCATAAGCCTGTGGACATCATGAACTACTTACAATCCTGCTGTTACACCTAAAATGTCCAGTCATTCTTTTCCACCTACTGACCTATCCTGACTCAGCCCAAGTTCACCAACATGAGCACGTTTCTCCCAGGACAGCCCCTCTGTCACAGGAAGCCCCTTTCTTAGATGCCTATGATATGCTGATGAAACACTAACTTACCTGTCAGCCTTCCTAACCATATTGTGACCACTGGTTTCTTCTTCGTGTCCTCCTGAATATAGATGGTTAACTGAACTGAGAGAGAGACTGACTTGACCATCTTCGTAGCCCTAGTACCTTGGCAAATAGTATAGTAGGCACTCAAATATTTGTTGAGTGAGTGAATGAATGAATACATAAAGGAGCTAAATAAATGAACAAAGGGCCTACCACATTAGAATACAACCAGATATCAGAGACTAAAAAAAGTAACTATACTGTATATAAAGTCAGGTTGATAACAGATATATTTTTAAACTTTAGCTCCAAGTTCAGCACAGTAACACTTATTTTACTAACACTGCAAACAAATGAATCTTTAGATTCATCATTACAACTCCTTCAAAGGAAAAGTTAAGAAAAATTTTAGATACAGAATTTGCTTTTCTATTTTTTAAACATTACAATATGAAAAATCTTTGCCCAGCAAAGTACCTATTAACTTAAACTATGAAATAAATCGCTAATTTCAAAACAATTTTCAATCTCCTGAAAAAGGAACATAGAATTATAACCTGAGTAATTCCAGTTAAATTGATGCAGAAATCAGAAAGCTGGGTGTTAACCTCTGGTCTCACATACTGCTGAAACGTATCTTCCTATAAGGCAAGGACAGCAAGTTAATGTCTTTTTATGACTTAAGATACGTGACACATGATACATAACAAATACAACCACATAAGATTATAACTATAGGTGCTTATGGCATAGAACTTCTAGTTTTAACAATTTAAGGTTACTTCCATGTTCCCAAAGCACTCTGATTTTCCCCCTCATAATCCATTTTAATTAAGGCAGCACTGATAAATTCTCCAGAAACAGATTTTTTATTTTAAAAATTACGTTTCAGTTTTAAAATTTTTACAATAAAGCAAGTGTCTGGAAGCAAGCCAGCAAACTGAAGTTTAAATAAACATTTTCCAGAGAAACATGTAGATAATTTTGTTTGTAATATTTTGAAATTGTCAGACTATTAAATGCAACCTCTAATTCAAGATACTAAAAGCTTTTTAAATTATAATTCCTTTAAATAGCAGTCTTGAGTTAAAATAGATTACCTCCAGATTACTGCTAACTCATTCACTCAATAGTCATTATACTAAGATTCTATTAAACTGAACTCTGAAGTCAAAATTTGACTCTATGATATCTCATAGTGTTGGGAGTAACTTTTGAGTAGATGAAATGTTATGATATATTATCTCTCAGATTTTACAAGGTGAACAGTATTATTATGGAG